GACCTTCTAGAAGGACTACAAATAAGACTTCTGGAACTCGCTAAGACTTCTACCCTACAGATCTACAGATCGAACCCCTGCTACCTACGGACCTATGACAGCTACCAATTGCTTACTAGTACACAGGTCACAGGTCCAACTCTCGGGGCCTACACGGGTACTGTACACGGGTAGAGTGAGGTCTAGGGATCGAGCCCTGGGATCTACATCTGCTACTGCAAAAGGTGAAAACCATTTCACACCTCACCCTCGTCCTTGTCCACCTCTTCTACCCCTCTTTCCTCCACCAATGACCCCTCACAATCACCGTTTTACTTCTCCGCGTATCCTTCCACTTCACCACCATCATCCCCTTAGCCTTCACCTCACCCTTGTCCACCATGCCCCCTCCACATGATTTCCTCGAACAGAACATGTAAACCACAGAAAAAAACTCTCTCTCTCTCTCTCTCTCTCTCTCTCTCTCTCTCACACACACACACACACACACACACACACACACACACACACACACACACACACACACAACCATGCACGAATACACAGCTCCCTGAACCTCCATTGCCATTTGGAATGGGGACACGCATGGATGGTGAGAAATGAGAAAGATTATTGTGCTTATCGATGGAGATTGCCGAGAACGGGAAGAGCTGCAGCCCTGTGGAAATCCCCAAAAGGAGACGCCAGAAATGACAGAATTTACATGGACTGCCAGGACACCAGGTTCCAGCATCGACAACTGGACCAATGGGAGGGTGCAGCCAACAAAGTATGAGCTGATGGCGCTTTGGTGGCTGTTTCTGTTTCTGGGCACTGAGCACACCTGACCACGGCTTTCTTCAGCGGCCGATAAAAGATGAGTCGTCCGACTGCCAGGACACCAGGTTGCAGCATCGACAACTGGACCGAGGGGAGGGCGCAGCCAACAAAATATGAGCTGATGGCGTTTTGGTGGCTGTTTTGTTTTCGGGCACCGAGCACACCTAACCTCGGCTTTCTTCAGCGGCCAAATAAAAGATGACCTGTCGGCAGTTTCTCTGGCACATTTTCTGGCCGCCTGAATTTCATTTTTATGCCACCATCACCGAGCCACTTCAACCCCAAAAGGAATGCGGGCAGGTACTGCACCCAGCGGCCCACAGATCAGCAGATGCACGGTCCAGATTGCGTGCTGATCATTTTCTAACCCGATGAGTACGCAATCTGGACCATCCGGTACTACAATACCCATGGTCCAGATAGCAAGCCAATCACCCTCAAAACAATCGGCAGCACATCCAGACTGTCGGACAACCAAAAAATGAATGGTACAGATGCAGAGTTGGTACCCACTCTCGCCAGATAGCGTTTGTCGAAATGTGGTGATTTTTAACGTACGCAATTAAACTGTACCCACCCTCAGATAGCTTTGTTGAAATGTGGTGATTTTTAATTTATGCAATTAAACTCGAACAGATGGCAAGCCGATCATGCTTGAAAACAACCAGCAGCACATCTATACCGTCGGACAACAAAGAAAACGAACGGTATGGATGCAGAGTTGTCACCCACCCGTGCCAAATACTGTTTGTCCGAATGTGGTGATTTCTAATTTATGCAATGAAACTCAGACAATTGGCTTTCTTATTGAGCAGCCAATGTAACATGTTTACGAAGTATTGTGGAGGCTGTGACGATGCACTTTTCCCCCCCTCTGATTTGTGTTATTTGCAACTCTGCTTCCTTCATTTGGCAGAAAAATGTCTGACGCCTTCGAGATTCCAGTTCTTTTCAACAACAGTTATGCTTGTTTACCCACAACACCAGAACAGCATTCGCGTGCTTCCCCAAGTGCACAAGGCCAAAGGGCTTCAAATGTCAGAACTCACCTGGGAGGTGCAGAAGTCTCGAGGGTGCACGATCTCTACAGAGACTTGCAGCCATCCTCCCTCTTTCCACAAGAGCAATAATGAATTCAAACTCGCGATCGATGATGTGCGGAATTCCATACACAAAATGGCAGGATCACATACTCTTCCTGCTCTTTTGTTTTCAAGAAAAAGCTATCCTCCTCATATATGTGGGACAGCCTGATCACTACGTTATTCTCTTCTCTCAATATTTTTTCACCTCACCCTAGCTACCTCCTCACCTCATGTTATCTGCCCCTGTACTCCATATCAGCATAGACCACTAAGCGTTATGGGTTTCACAAGAGCGCAGCCTTCCCACCTCTCTACCCAAGGGAACCCAGGTTAAATCCGGCTCTACTCTGTGGGGAGTAGTACCCAGGCTCGTGACCCCTATTGCAGGATGACAGGACCTGCAACAATCCTGCCGAGATCAACCAGCGGGTGCATTGCAAGGGGGCGTGGGGAATCGAATGGACGAGTGGGGAACCGAAGCCACGACCTCCTGAACGCCACTTCGGTGCTCTACCAACTGAGCTAGGCCGCTGGCCCTCTTCCTGCTCATTTCATTTACTGCACTCAATTTCATTTACTGCACTCAATTTCATTTTACTAAGATTGCAAATCAAGAACAGCAATTACCAACCATCCACTTCTCCATCACTCTTCTCCAGATACGGAGTGCTAGCAAGCCCTGCCCTTTACATCTTTGCAAGTGAGAAGTCTGCATTGGCAATCCCTACCCTTTTTTTCCACCTCTGTGAAAGAGAAGTACGCATTAGTGATCCCTGCCATTTCTTTGTTTATCTCGATTAATGTGGGTCATCCTTGCCCAGGAGCCATGCTAATCTTCTTTCACAGTATTTTTCATATTTTAACAGATGTCCCAAAGGACAATGCAGGACTCATTTCTGGCGAGAGCTTGCAGGCCATTTCCAAACTTTCGTAACGTTTGACACACAGGCCAATCGTTTCGTGTACGGTACTGTCTTCGCCCGGCGGTACAATGACCAAAATCCAAGGTCGGAACAAGACCACCAAAATCCGCTGTTGCTCATGCAGATTTAGCAAACATAGGATAGATACTAGATATTGAATACAGACAAGACTGTAAGCTACTGTATCGGGATTTAGAATAAAAACATTGTGCGACAAGGATTGCATCTGGAGCTTCATCTACTTTTGCTCTGCCCTTATGATGTCTGTTGTAGGATTGGGTTCTGCAGTAGGTGGTGCTTCACAGTGGCGACAAGAGAAGGAAGACCCCCCCGCCTATCCTCCAACATCACCACCAACGCACGGAAAGGACTACACCATAAGTTATCACACAGGTTTTTGATGGACTGATTTCTTGACCAGGTATAACCTTTTTCACAAACAATCACTCATTACATCACATTTTTATGACTGAGCGACTCTTTTGTCTAGGTACCAGAACACCACAGTTGAGAGAGAGAGGACTGGGCCCTTTAGATAGTCTCCCGCTATCTTAACTTTACCCACGACTGCCACAGAGAACCAGGGGAACAACAGAGTATAGTAGGGGGCCAGCGGCCGAGCTCAGTTGGTAGAGCACCTGAGTGGCATTCAGGAGGTCGTGGGCTCGATTCCCCACGTCATCCATCTGATTCTCCACAGCCCCTGGGGCCGGTTCGCCAGCTGATATAGTTTCTGCTCCCCCGCCCCCCTCCCCCCGGCTGATCTTGGTAGGGGCCCCTCCCTTCTATCCTTCACCCGTGGTTAGGCTGAGACAGAGAAGGCTAAGGCTACAATCTTCCCCCGAATACAACGTACGGTCATTATAGTTGAATTTAGACTGAAAGATACCCCAAATTCAGCTATAATGACCGTACGTTGTATTCGGGGGAAGAACGTAGTAGGGAACCTTGTGGACCAACTAATCCAGAGGCTGCTGAGTAGTGTGAGGTATATTGAGAGAAGACTAAAGCATAGGTTTTTTTGTGGAAAAAAAAAAAAAAAAAAAACAGAGTACAATAGGTATAGTTATTAAGAAGCAGAAAGGGTAGGATCAGAAGGTAGGACAGATGAGGAATGGTGAAGTGACTTGGGCAAGACTGTCACATCTCGTTCACCTGCCACCACCTTTCTCACCCCTCCTTTGCAATATCCCTACCCTGAGCTGCATCTTCGTATTATATGCTTGCTGGTGATAAGCAACCAGATTCTCCCCCCCCTCCCCCCCCAGAATATAAAGGGGTCTTATTTCTTTTTTCTTTTTTTTTAAAGAAGAGAAAAAAAAGATGTCAGTTTGGACAAGCCCCAGGGGAATGTAGAGAACCCACCTCAGCCAGGGTGCAGGCTCGTTATCACAACGGACAAACAGGTATCGGCATATCAGCGTGCCCTGATGCACAAATTGACACAGAAGACCAGAGATGAAGGTCACTCAGAAACAGCTACAACCAGAAAACATCGAAAATGAAGAAAATGAAACAAATCAAGAAATGATGATGCGACCTCACGTCTGCTCAACACAGCGCACAGTCTATAACTAAAAGCGAAGTTCCAATAGCAGGAAAGGAAGAAGCAGGAAAAGAAGCAGCAGACAAATATGACAGGACAGGAAGAGGCATCAACAAACTCTTCTGTTTGTCTAAATAAGAATGTGTTTTTCTCTACTTTGTTAACAGGCTCATTATCATTAAACGTGGAGTGAGCTCAACCCTGTTTTCTGTGAGTTGTTGGGCGGGGTACTGGTAAAGGGCCTAATGAGACGCTCCACGAGTTCAGTGATTCAGTGCAGTGCTAGCACGCATTCAATGTTCACCAGAAAACAAAGGGGTGGGCAAGGCAATTTCAAATCCAGACGCACCACAGCCCTCGGAATTTGAGGCCGGATGAACTTCAGAAAATGTGGGTGCTCAACACATGAGCCAGACTCTGTACCCCTCCCTTACATTCACACACACACAGACACACACACACACACACACACACACACAGCACGTCCAGACAGGTCGCAGGCCTTAATGGGACTTGGGATGCTGATCACCAAGCTGTGGGTTTACAATGTGATGAATATGACAGATAAGTGCCCTCTCCGGGTTCCATATGTATGAGACAGTATGACACTAAATGGGTCAACTTGTATAGAACCATACTGCCAAGGCATCCTCTTTGATCGATCGAGATTGGTTCTGGGACGGTTCACCATTAAGGAAGGGATAAACGGCCACTATATCTACAGAAATAGTTTACTTTATACCCAATTGATTGTTGCAAGAATATCGATGTAACCTCTGTACTGGAACACAGTCGGCATGATCTTACTGCTAGTGCGTGGAAGGCAAAGCCCTCAAAGGTGGTGGACGCATAGAATGAGAGGCCAATGAAAAGCAAGAACGTAAAAGAAGGAGACAGAACACTGGCATCGACCCTATGCAGAGATCGAAGGAGGAGGGCAAGAAAGTGACAGAAAGAGACAGAGAACAGTGAGCTCAATCCCATGCAGAGATTGAAGAAGGCAAGGCCACAAAAAGCAAGAAAGAAAGACAGCCGACAGCAATTTGACGAAGAACAGAAAATCATTGACATTCTCTGATACATCAAACACGCCCACAGTCAGAGATCCATGCAGAAAACAGAATCACCTAAATGTAGAGAAACTTATGTGAGAACTTGGAAGCTCTTCTTCTGCTCAAAGCCTCTCTTACACGACACTCCAGGCGATGTCCTACATCGCACGAAGCATGACATCCCCCCCCACATTGCACCTATATATCAAGATAGGCACAACAGAAACTTGCAAATAATTGGCCGTACGAAGTTTCAAGCATAAGATTTCAAGTTACAAGAGAAAATCCTGTGCTCCAACTTTCAACAGCAACTCATCAGAGGGTTCAGACTTCAAAGTCCCTACCTTTGCCACAGCATGGTCACCTGAAAGTGCCTTGTAAAGTTCCCACTGTCACCAAACCGGTATGCCTTCCCAACCCAGAGAAAACTCAACCCCCCGCAAAAAACATAAACACCCGCTGAACCATGCGGCCATTACCATGCAAGCAATGGGAGTAGCACCAACTTGTTGCAGCCTGAGGAATGGTTGACAATAACCATTTCCTAATCGGGCTACCTTTTTTTTTTCCCCCACCATCGCAAACATGAGTAAGCGTGCAAAAGAAACAGATAGACAGAGAGATGCAAACAAGGACCCAGGCCAGGAGCTGGTCACGTGGGTGTTAGTTGTGGTGATGGTTGGTAGGTGAGGTTAGTGGATCCCGAGAGAAAAGAAAGATGTTCCCTTTCCCACAGGCCCCAGAAATCCCCTTCCTGTTGAATCCAAAATACGGCTATCAATCACCGCCTAGAAATTTCCAGTTTTCAATTTATCCACATGAACACTGGGATGGATACTACCCTGGTTCAACCATGTACTTTTTAACGGACACTGATGGATTGACAACCTGACCTGTTTGTTAGTAGTTACATGTGTGAGTCACATACAGCCACAAAGCGAGGTACGTTGCTTGTCATCTTTCAACTAATAAGCAATCGATGAGTCACTATACCTGTTCTGCTTTCTTGCGCCAACACTTCTCTACCCGGTAGATTCCATCATACCGAACGCCTCGAATTGGTGCATAAGCCGATCTTTTCTCCTTGTGAGATCTGGAAAACAGTGATGCCAAACCGGAGCCACTTGTCAACTCAACCATTGTGTCTAACAAAAAAAGTCATAGCTCGGTCAGCCAATAGATGAACTCAGATGGAACAGCAAAACAACAACAAACAGATGCTTACCCCTAAAGCACAATATGCAACAGGGTCACCCACTTTCACATCTGCCTATAGTCACCATCTCTCTTTCTCTCTCTCTCTCTCTCTCTCTCTCTCTCTCTCTCTCTCTCTCTCTCTCTCTCTCTCTCTCTCTCTCTCTCTCTCTCTCT